GATGTTATTTACTAATGCATAACGCTGCAAACTAGAAATTATTATTAAGCAGTTTGTATAACAATACCTCCAAGAGGTACTAATAAAGGTGGTAAAGGTTGTATAAGCATGCAGCTAGACACAGACGAGATCAACAAAGCCTTTGGGATCTGAGGTACTAATTAGACTCAATAATCCTGAATTATAAATTAGGATTCAATATTATTATGTCTGGCCCACATCAAAGCAAGGCCAGCTCAAGCAGTGGCCTCTTGTAAATTCAGCTGTAGTATTTATTAAGATTTGTTCCAGTTTCTACTCTAATCAGTACAAAACCAAATTCCCACAGAGCTAGGGTGAAACACAAAGTCTAAGCTGAAGAGCAGGATGGTCACTGGAACAAACAATGAATTAATTTATTTCTGCTAACTTGTCTGCAATACCTATTGCCTTTATATCATAAAACATAAAATCTTGTGACCATCTCTATTGTCAAGCGTAAAAATGAAACAAATTTCTGAAAAAGATGGCAGAGGATAAGAAATATATTTCCACCACCAGTATTTCCAGAATTCAAGACCAAAGTAGTACTGAACAATTTAAAAACTAAGATTATTGGATAACAAAAAGTACAAGAAATAAAAAAATGCTCACTTTATAAGGCATAAATGAGCCACTAATTGACAGGAGCTGAAAAAAACCTTCTCTTGTTGGCTGGTTATTTGCCTGTGGATTCTGCTATTCTGTCCTCTGAAGCATCTGGTACTGGCCATTACCAGAGATCAAATAGAGGACCAGATGGTCTGTTGGTTTCACTCATTACAATGGTATGACCACTGAAATGTAAAAGCTCTTCACAGAACCAGAAGGAGAGCATTTACCTCTGAATGCCTGATCTCTTAAGGAGAAAAAAAAAAAAGCCTCTTCATACCTCTGTGAATTTAAGAGAATAGTAAACCAAATTACCTCAGGGACACTTCGGTGCAGAACTTTTCTCGCTAGGGAGGATCTGGCCTTAGCACACCCTTGTGGATTCAGGCTTTTATTATCACAAAATACCATACTGAAAATTATTTAGGAAGCTAAAGCTGAAGCAGGAACTAGTGGTGCAACCTGACAGGACAATGTTGTACCAACCCCTCAGCACTGTGCTGTATTCTTGTGTCCCGAGTCAATTTGTCAGTGGTTTAAAAGCACCGCGTATGATCCCTTGGGTTTGCTTCGTACCAGAGGCCTAACGGGCTAGTAGAGGCTAGATGGCTGAAAAAGTCATAACCCAAGAGGTCAAAAAATTGCCACCTTAGAGAAGGGGGGCATGGGGAAGTGCTAAATGTGTGGTACTGTTTCCTCTTTGCATCAGAGTCTTTCTGATGTTCTAGGTATGTGGGCTCATAACTTTAATTTTCATTTCTAAAAGTGTGGTCACAATAAAAAATATGGACTTGAAATTAGCAAGATAGTTGAAATAAAGTAAAGTAGCCTCATATTTGTGTTTGCTTTGTGATAATGGGCCTCCAGAACATTTCCTCCTCTCTTCTTATGTTTCTGTAATGGTGGATCTCAAGGAGCCTGGTCCTGAAAGCATCACCCACCAATGGGGGATAATGACCACTCTGGCTTCTGCATGTAGGAGTTTGAACACACTTCTTTTGCCTTTCGTCCCTTTTTAACCTCTGAAAAAGAATTATTTGTGTTTCAGTTACTGTTTTCTAAACTCAAATACCAAGAGTCTGAAATGCTTGAACATAAGGAGTAGTTGGGGTCCATTTCAAGTTGTTATGTAGCCAGAGAATGTGTCTGGAAAGATACTCATGGAAGAAAAACAAATGTAAGCTTTTCTTCCTTGGATTGATGAACAGGATGTGTGTTTTTCTTATCATCACAGTGATTTATAAAGGGGAGCTGCTCTCCCATGATACAAAGCTTCAATATGCCAAGCCTGAAGAACTGGCTTGCCTCCTAACACATTCTCCAGAGACAACAGGTTGCCACCCTTGTCCTCTCTTATTCCCCCCTTCCTACTTTCCTTACTAATCCTAAACCCTCTGAGACCACTCTGTTGAAAAAGCAACTGCATTGACGTACAACGTAACTTGCATTGGGAGATCCAGAGACAGTAACTTTTCTGTCTCCAGTCTCTTAGGAAGAGCTACATAATAAAAATAGTATTGAAAAACACTGATTCTCAATATAGAAAAGCAAGTTACAAAGTCACACCCTATTGACATATAAGCAAAGGGAAATACACTATTGCATATAGCATTAACTCTGATACTCTTAAATCCAACAAAATCAATACTATATGGAAAATACAAAATCTTCAGCATGTGTTTTGTTTTTAAAAAATCCCTGTGCAAGAGAAGCTTTTCTGAGAAGCAAAGCTATTATTTAAAAGGGGAGGGCAAAGAGGACAGAGCTGTGAGGTTTGCCAACCCTCTTGGAAAGGGGTAGTGATCCCATGGCAGGGCTCGGGACAATTGTACCATGATGTATCAATTTTTTTCAGGTAACAAAGCAGGAGGACACTGGAGATTCACACTCAAATCCCATTGCTCCATAATACAAATTAAGGGTCCAAATTAATAGAAAACACAGCAAAGTGGATTTGTTATTGTGAAGTTTGGCTTCCCGTTCCCTTGTTATTCATTTTCTAGATGGATCACATTTCCAGTGTGTGCCTTTCAGATATAATCAGGACCAACTTGTGGAGCTCAGGGTAGAGAAAAGTGATGGCGACAGTAAAATATGAAACAACAGGTCTTAAAAATAGCTAGTACCCTGGATGAAAATGTCATCAAATTACTTTGTACCAAATTCTTTTTCACCACATCATGTTTATTTTTCAGAAGAGATGAATAGAAGAGGATCTGAGTTTAAGAAAAGGTCATGTAGGAAAAACCATTTAGAAAAATTCCTAGTAAGGTTTGTATTCATTAGCATGGTTTCTCCAACATATTAAGGGTAGTATAATAATTTGCATATTGGTGGGAAGCCAGAAGGCTATTCTGGAAACCTTTGGCCACTTAAGGGTTTTCACATACATGAAAAATCAATCTCAAGATGTGTAAGCTGGGCATGACAAGAAATTCAGATATAGTCTCATATTTTTAGACAGAAACTTAAACCAAGACAGAAAGAAAAGGGAAAATGGATAAGATCTGCTTTTTTTCAGGTAGCATTAAAAAGGAGACATGATTTGGCTTTGCTTTATCATAGTTTTCTTTCTGGGGCTGAGTGCCAATTTACTAGCACGTAGCATGTGGTCCGAGTGACAATCTATTTAGCCTCTTTCAGTGATTCTGGCTTTTACATTATATAAATAATGGGGAAACGGCGTGAAGTCCTGCACTTCACATCCCACATCAGCTCCCAAGGCTCCTTCTTCACTAACTTAGAAAACCTAACAAAAAACAGATGAGGATACTCAGTTACTCAGAGGTGGTATTTTAAAAAGGAAAATGAGCTGTGGAGGTAACTCGTTCACCTCCTCAAATTAAGGAAGTTTACTTTCCCTACCTCATAATAACAAAAGGGACTATCTATCCCAAAGTTACCATTTTGCTCTACAGCAAAGCTGTAGTGTTAAAATATCATCTGAGAAATAATATTCCCAACGTGGGAATTCAAAGACCAAAAGGTGTTTATATTCTTAACGAAGTTTGTATATTTTCACTGAGAAAATTAGTTCCTTTGTATGCATTATAACATTTGCCACATTTTTGTAAGTATTGTTTTCTGGTAAAGGTATAATTTCCTAATTAGAGATGATCAAAAATACTGATTATTCACCCATATTCTTTTGTACTCCTACCAACCTGTGCTTTGTGAAAACTTTAACTGGATACGGCTCTTATACTTGTGCAGGAGAAAAAAAAAGCAATCAGCTGTCTCACAAAGCAACCACAGAAAATATTTTCACTGCCAAATTTATCTGTTAGTGCTCACTGGATTAAATAACCAAATAAATATATAAGAAATACCTGCCCCTAACTGATCCCTCTCTGACACTTCAAAGGCCCTCACATTTCATGGCTATTTAATTTTTCCCTCTTTTCTTCCTGTTTTTGTCCATTGTGGTAGTGCCTGGGGTGGGAAGAATATACTTTAATTTTTCAGGTATCCATTTCCTCAGAATTGTGCCAAATGCGTTATTAGAAGGATTCTCTCGAATTTGAGTTCTCACAGAAAAATTCATAAATAAGAAGGTAAAATTGTATTACCTACCCTAATTTGGGGTAACAACAACCAGAGATCTATAAAACACATGTAATTTCCAGTTAAGCTTTCTAATGGGGTACATTTGCAAGTGGCAGTATTTGCTTTGCAACTTTTCAGAAATAGGAGATTTATAAGAAATTACATAAGACATAAATGTTCCTAGCTACCTTATTTAATAAAAATTTTCAAACAGAACTCATACAGTAGAAGCCAAAAAATTATATTGTTGCTTTCCCTGCCTAAAATAGTGTTTCATCATTTATCCATCCACAGCGATTCTTCCAGATTTGGGCAAAAGCTAGCAGTCTGAGATCATAAAGTTACTATTACTCTGACATCACTTAGGAACTGAAGGCCCCTTTTCAAAAGGGATGTGTGACATGCCTGGACTATAGCATAAATTCAGATAATTGACACTGGGGCCCAAGCATCTGGGTTAGCTTAGCAGCAGATGTTCACAGACACTTTCTAAAGCCATCCTCGTGCTTCTGTGTTCTGCTGTTGCACTCTGGAGGGTATGTCACTAAATTTCTTAGAACATCTCCTGCATGTTGTAAAGCTCATATGCTCTCTGGTTAGTCCCCAAGCTATCCTTCTGGGGACATTGCAGGGAAGGAAGGATTTGCAGGAAGTGACTAGAGATTTATTAATACTTTCTATTTCAACATGCCTCAGTACTGCAATGGGAGAAAGCTCAAACAGGAGCAGGATCAAGGCAAGCTAATCAGACCTGACAATATTATTATTTGTTGTTGACATATACTTTGGTGTATAGCGGGAATGTGGGAAGCAAGGCAAAAAAAGGGGGAATCTGGTAATACTGTAGTGAGTGTGTATCCCTAAGGATTTCTGTCTTTTTGAAAGTCAAAGCGCTTTGGCTGCCTAATCTTCTGAGACAATGTCACCAATTACACTAAATTTTTCTGAAAATTAGAAGAGGTAGAAGCACTGTTTACTTATTTGAGAAAATACAGCTGATGGGGCATCAGAATGCTTAAAGATGAGGAGCAAAAGCTAATAGTCTCATGACTTTGGGTTCAAATCAGAATTGAAGACAGATGTGTATTTCCTCCTTACCCATCTTTTTTATCTATATCTATCTCATTGTAGTCATTTTGTAGTATCTCACTCCTGACAATCCAGCAGTGTAACAAGGACAGGGAACTGAATCTACTCATGCTGTAAAATTTCACATCTGCTGACAACTTGTTTCCTCCTCAGTCTCTGTGTTATCATTATTCAGGGGATCATCAAAACAAAGATGCTTGTATAGAAAAATGAAACTTCTGTAATGCGTCAGTCATAAAACTATCTCAAAGGAAAAGCCACAATTAAAAAACTAGAAATCCTTTAAAGACAGTGATGTTAAACAGAGATGACACCCAAAAGAATACAGAGCAGATCTACTGACTATTGATAAGGGGAAAAGTACCATAGCTTATGGAAGATGCTGCAAAAACTGTGGTTTATAAAAAAAGCTCAGTTTCTCTTGAAAATAACCATCAGGCCCAGATATATATGAGCACATCAGCTTACAAATGAGCGCAGCCACCACAGAAAATGAAAGCAATACAGCTAACCCTGAGCCTGTCTGTACTTAAAGTTGTGGCAGTGCCTGTAAGACACCATGTGCTATCAAAAGCAACAAAGACAATTAAAAAAAATTAAAAAATGGAACCTCAAAAAAGGATGGAATTTAGTGATCATATTCTTATTCAGAGGTATTTAGTTATAACACAGGTCCTCCATATGACAGGACAGATACGTTCTGACAGCACAGTGTTGAGAGGAAAGATAAAATATGCAGTCACATACAAGTTACTTGCTAGACTGCACATTTCTGTACGCACAGCAAGGACAAGGAGAACCCCCTTGGGTGACTGTATAATGTAACTTTGCAAGTCCATAGCTGGATTCATTACTTTGCACAGTATTCAGCAAAAAAAAAAAAAAAAAAAAAAAGCCTCTGTCAGCACTGAAGACAGTGTGATTTCATAACAAACTCACTTCTGAACAATGTGTTTGTTGTGAGGCTTTTGAGCTTCCTGGCTCTGCTGTGCCACAGCTGAACATGGCACCAAGAAAAGCCAGACCTGTTTTGGATGTGCTCAGAGGAGAAATCTAGATATAGACTGCTTGTGACAGCTTTTAGTCATGGGGGGAAATTATTATCCTCAACAACTAGACAACTTTATTTCCCCACACTGGAAAAATATGGTATAGAAAATATCCAGGTTCCCTAGGAATCAATGCTGTATTTAGTATTGAAAGAAACTTTTGAAAATGTTGTGTTTCAAACCCTCTAGAGAAGAACCCACATTCCTGTCACTCCATTGAAAGGAAAAAGGAAAGCATTTGTTTGTGAATTAATCACTGTTAAAAGGTAGGAAACAGGTTAAATGTTTATTTTTAGCAGCTATTTAAATATTTTTTCTGTCGCAAATCCTACAAGGATCTGTTCTGAGAGCCATAGTGTTCAGCAGAGTCATATACTGTCAGAACATTCAGATAATGGCAAGACAAAGCTTGCGGATAGCACGAAACCGCTCAAGGTTGTCAGTCTAAAAGTGAGCTATAAAAGAGACTCTTGATCTTAAGCAGCTAGATAATGAAAACAGACACCAAAACCATGCCCCCCAAAACACATAACAGCTCATAGACATATCAACCACACAGTTTGCCTGATGAGTTGACTCCTGGACAGGTGTGCCAGAGAAGGAAGAACCATCTCCCTGCTGACTTTATAGTTTCTGAAAGCATCCAGTACAGGCTGTTGACAGTGGCACAAGACTGGTACAGAACAGATCAAGGAAAAAAAATGTAAAAACTTAGTCATACAGTGGGTGCTTTAGGGAAAGTGGCAAGTTTCCTTGGAAGCTTTTTTCAGCCTTCTATAACATGCAGTTTACAGTGGAGTCTGGCTGTAGAAGGGACTGTCAAAATCAAAGTCCTTATCTCTTTCGAATGGACACAACATCACTTGGCAGTTGTCTTACTGTCATAGTTGGTCCTTCACCAAGATTTGAGTCATCTTATGTTGTGGTACTCAACTGTCATCACTCCACTTAAATGTGCCTGCCTGTGAGAGCTGCTGCTCCAGATGATACATACACTGGAGCAGCACTTTGAGGATCTGTAGAGTATCCAGTGTGACATAAGAAAAGATTTAATAAATGCATTTAAAATTAACTTAATAGTGCTAAAGATGATGATTGCAGATTCTGCTACTCGGCCCGCTCTATTCAGCTATGTAGGAAGTATTAGCTGTTTAAAATTTTTCTGTATTGCTATGGCAACCCTCATTCTCCAGCAGCCTCTTAAAGCAGCACACAGAAAGGCATTCATTTGCCAGGCAAGCTACACACCACTCCTGAGAACTAATGCTCTGTCCCCCTAATGAAATGCCCAACTCCCTTTACATTTAATTTGACTCATGAGCACATACCAGTTTACTCTGCAAAATTCATTTAGCTCATTACTTGGCCTATCGTGCAAGTCCAAATCTCACAGACACATACACTCAAATCACTTGGGTTTAGTGGAGTTACAGACTGAGAAATAACTCTGTTATGCACTGTGTGGCTTTACAGAGATGATTGAATGGCTCCCACATCTGATTTTACTCAGTATCACTGAAAGTCATTTCCTTCTGCTTCATAACCCTGGAGCAAGGGGCAGGGAGAAGAGGGGAGAGAAGAAACATCACATGTGTTCTGCTTTTACCAGCCATGTGAGGGGCATCGGAAGAGAGAAGTGGAGAGAGTAAGTATCTTGCCAAAATGACAGACACCAGAACAATCTATAGCCTCGAAATAACAGAAGATTTGCTAGGTGTGAATCCCTGTGTAGAAGTAGGATCCCCCAAATAAACCAATGTCTAAATATAATAAACTGCAAAGTGATTCTTTCTAAGTTAGCAGATCATAGAATCATAGAATCATAAAATCAACCAGGTTGGAAAAGATCTCTGAGGTCAAGTCCAACCCTTGATCCAACACCACCGTGGTTACTAGACCATTGCACTAAGTGCCACATCCAGTCTCATCTTAAAAACCTCTAGGGATGGTGAATCCACCATCTCCCTGGGCAGCCCATTCCAATGTCTGATTACTCTCTCTGTAAAGAATTTCTTCCTAATATCCAACCTAAACCTCCCCTGGCAGAGCTTAAGACCATGCCCTCTTATCTTACTGAGAGCTGCCTCATAGGACTTGTGCTCCAGTCCCTTCACCAGCCTTGTTGCTCTTCTCTGGACCTGTTCCAGTACCTCAATATCCTTCCTGAACTGAGGGGCCCAGAACTGGACACAGTACTCCAGGTGTGGCCTCACTAGTGCTGAGTACAGGGGAAGAATCACTTTCCTGGTCCTGCTGGTCACACTGTTCCTGATATAGGCCAGGATGCCACTGGCCTTCTTGACCAGATGGTTTTCACAACTGGCAGGTCTGCACTTCATCTGGGATCTGCAGCAAGCTGAGCTCTTGATGGCAAAGCATAAAGCTGAATGTTTCTGCAAACCAAAAGCTACCTCTTAAACCCATGCCATTACATTGCATGTTATGTGATGTTTATGTAATAAATAGACAAAGACAAAGCTCCTGTCTACATCTACAATCTTCCTACAGAGCATCATTCTCCATCATTTCAGCTACATGGAAAAGAGCTTGTGAAGACTTTTCTCCTAAGCAATTCCTATCCTAATGAGGAAAAAAACTTGGCAAAATAATTAATCCAATCTCTCTTGCAAAAAAGAAGCAAAAAATGTTATTTGTCAGTTACAAAAGGATAAAATTCTTCCCTTACCACAACCTTTTTCTTGGGGATTTCATATTTGAAATGAATTACAGAGCTGGCTCTCTCAATGCCCTGCCTAAATTATCTTCCCCTCGCTGAGGAGGTCCATGAGTATTTGTCTTTTAATAACCATAACCTAAAACAAATATCTTTGTCAGTTCTTCCTGCTGCAACTCGAAGGGGAACAGCACATTGAGCCCATCATAGGGTTAGCTATTAGAGCTTCCTCTCTCCCAGCTGGAAACATTTCAGTCACTGTTTGAAGTAAGTTTAAGCTTGGAATAAGAAAGCAGATGCTTTAAAAGCACTGCAAAAAGGTGTTGTTTGTCTATGACATTGGGAAACCATCAACAAGTGCAGACAGATGTGAGAACATTTTCACCAGTTCATTCCCAGGTATTGCTGAGTTAGTAAAAAAATCCCTCAACTTATATGGAACAAGCTACTTGAAAACACACCATCAAAATAGTTCTCAGAGATTAATAAATTTAAATAGTTTTTCCCAGAGACCAGATTTTCATTCACACAAAAAACTATTGCATCCAGGGATCTGTCTTGCCCTGTGAATAGCTGATCCTCCTCCCAAGCAAAGCCAGCTGTGTAGTTTATTTCATTTTTATATGTCTTGTTTTGTTCATCATCATGGCTAGGCTTCGCAAACGAAGATTCGGGATGTTTTGTTCATAGTAATTTGAAAATGATTTAGCTTTAATAATGTGAAAACATTGCAAGAAAAATGTGTTTCTTCTTTCAAATATTTTTGTTATTGGCTATTCTGTGACCTAAACATGCTTTTGAAAAGATTAGCTGTTACAATAACCACTTCAATAAAAAATTACTTAAAAATTGCCCCAGTACTGCTGTCTCAATAGATTACAAATGTGGTTCTTTACACTTTGCTAAACACAAGCAACGTTTAAAATTTCAGAAGCTGCAGTTCAGCACCTAGAAGATCACTGCCAGCCATGTTCCCTGAGCCACTCTGCCTTCATCTTCTCTCTTCTAGGATGAGATACAAGGAGTGCCTGTTATCTAGGCTGATACCTTAGCCTGGGGCAAGGTTCTTGCTGCTGACCACTATGCAGTTCACTGGAGCTCAGCTGTGACACAGAGAAAGGGTTTGTAGATTCTTTTCTGATTATCCCAAGGCCACTGTGGTGACCAGCCTGCAAGGCAAACAGCTCTCTCCCTTGGACATTGCTTCCTGCAAGAGTCACACTAGAAAAGGCCAATCAATAGTAAGAGAAAGCACAGTGAAGGTTTAGCACCATCTTTAGCATCAACTCGCATTTCTAGGGACCCTTTTTTTCCCTTACAGTTGTCACATAGCTAACACCTTTTCAACATATGGCTGTAAATACATCCCACTCTTTCTCACTTGCATCTCATCTGCTCCAGTCATATTTTCCAGTGTCTTGCCCACAGGCTGATGGGGTTTGATCAAAGGCAGCCATTAAAAATTATTATGCAAATTCACTCATCAGTGAATGCTCATTGAATGACACTGAAAATTACACCAACCACGGCAGCCAAAACACCTTGAACCCGGGCTAATGATGTGCAACGCCGGTCACATTTCTCAAGTGAATTCACCCATTTTGAGTTTGAAAAGCTAAAAGGGGACAAGAAGTTGGCAATGGGCTTATAGGGGTGGTTACAAATCGCATCAGTCCCAGGAAGCACTGAAGGAAAGAGTGCCTCCCACTCAGAGCCAGGAATCTGATTCCCATTACCAAGAAGAGGCATTTACTTCTTTTTGAACTGCAAAGATCATGCTCAAGTTACCTCATCCCCCTGTAAGACTGATCTATGGAGTTTATTACAGCACAGGGTTTTTTGCTGCTCAGATTTATTGGAGATGCAAGAGCAGACAGGCAGACTCAAAATAGGAAATAGCGTGCATCACCCACTCTCGAGTTTCCTCTCTACAGATCCACTAAGTGTGGGTTTTGGCATGCACTCTGGAAAAAAATATTTTCCATTAATAGTCTGGACTAGTGGATTAGGCCAGTATGCTGCCTTCCAAGAGTGGTGAGATCCAAACCACGTTTAATTTAGTCTAAATAGGACCCCTATGATCTGCAGTACCTCCTGGATATTTGTATGTGCATGTCATTTTACAGAGACGGGTACAGACATATGGTTTGCATTTTCCTTTAGCTAATTATTTTTGCAGAAAGATAGCACTAGAAAGTTAGAACTGATCAGAAAAACATCAACCGAAATGCAAGTGTCTTCAAATGGGAAAAAAAGTATTAAATTCATAATCAGAAAAATTTGCATCCAAACCTTCACTCTGCTCCAGCAAGGGAGCAGACATGCTCTGTGACCTGAGTTTCCGAAGGAAACAGCTTGCATATCAAATACTCATGACTGGTGAAATGCTTGTGAACAAGCAAGAAGCTGCAAATTATTCACAGAATTTATTCAGCAAGCGTGAATGAAGACATTGCCCAGCCCTCCGACGTGATTGCAAGCCACTTGTGAGTCAAGAGAGAGGCAAAAATCCTTACTAATTATTATCCCAGCCTATGAATTCAGACTAAAGGAATGCACTGAGATTTGTATGCATCTCTCTCTCTCATTTTGTTAACGGAATATTGCCATAAGATGTATTTTCCTCTTCGGAGCTCTAGCCAGGTCTCACAGCATGCTTCCAGTCTGCACATGAAACACAGCATGAAAAAATCTGTCACCTTTCTATAAGAGGTCATTATTGTCAGTCTGCTTTGCCAGTTTTGAATCCGATCTGCCGCTCTTGGCAAACTGAAAACTTAATATCCCTTTGATACTCTGCTATGTTTTTGCCAGGCTGTATGAAATAACTTATGCTGGAAGCCCCGATAACAACTGCCTGTTTAATATTGGGATGTCCACATAAAACAGGAATAAAACCCTACAGCTGAAGAAATTTCAGATCATCATAATTTCTAAATGGGTAAAAAACCCCCAAACATAAAGTTAAATATTGTGCAACCTTGCAATTTATCAAACAAAACAGCACAGCAGTTCTTTAAACAGAGGGGAAGAAAAACAGTCTTAGCATGCAATCACTGAAATACAGCAGAAAAATTAAGCTAAAAAGTGACAGCGCATTTTATAATCAAAAAGTAAAGTGGAACGGGCAAGTCAAGGGACTTTTGACATGCTTATTATATGAGCATTTACATGAATATTAATTTTATATGAACATAGCATATGTATGCAATGTACAGCAATGCATAGAGACATCTTTCCTCATAATGTAGCCGGGTTTTTCTTGTAGCTGTTACAATAATGATGTAGTATGAAAATTATACAGATTAGAATAATTGAAAGTCTGGTTGTTTTTCTCTTTTTTTCCTGTTCTAACCAGATTCAAATATCTCTTTATGGAGGGAAAAACTCTGACAATGTAGCCCTACTGATGTGTTTCACATGATGGGAAAACAAAAAATCTTTCCTTCACTCAAAAGGCAAATCTGATTCCCGGCAAGCCCATCTGCAAGTGACCTTATAATAACAAAGAAATTACATAATCCCAAAACTGTTATCTAAAAAAATCTTTTTATTCTATTTGTGTATGGGTAGAAGATGCCAAGTACAGGATCCCACAACTGACATTCAGAAAAATTGTCTTTAAAGTACGTGCACCAGTTTTAAAATTTCGGTACTTTTTATAGCTATCTTTTTTCTGTCTCAATTGAAATATCTTTAAATAAAAAAGCATTAGCTTTCCTTTACTTCTTGGTGGTATTGAAAACTATGTGGAAGTTTGCAGCTCAGGCTAGATGGTGAATTTTAAAGCATAGCAGCTCTGTGCTCCAAAATAAGGCCAAAGTATGAAGCAAACTAAACTCTGAAGTTATTAATCTTCGCAGCAACAACAACGCACAGGTCACATCTGTTCCTAGATGAGCTTCAGACACTGGTCCTGAAGGATGAAGCTCCATTCTGCAAAATGGTAGCAGAAAGTCTTGAAGTATCCATTTTTTTACTTATTGTTTGGATTAACTGGGCTGTAGGAAGGTGTGGAAGTGGCTTGGAAGTCTGCAGAAGGGTTGCTCTTGGATCTCATAACAGTCTCACATGTGCCATCTGCACATGATCAAAAGGCGTCAAGTGGCTGAGAGCAGAGAAAACCTTCAGGGATTTATTTAGATCTTTGACTAAGCACAACTTTATCAAACTTACCATTCCCTTTTCATTTGGCTCGTCAAGACCTTTCCTCATGTAATAACTCATATTCCAGATCTGGACAGCTGGGAATGTCCTTCATATCCAGCCTGGCTCTGAATGCGCAGCTAAGTTCTAAAAATGTGTTTATAAACAAATATTTTCAGATATTGTCTAGACATTTAGCACTGAAGGCTTTCTGAGCAGGAAATGCTGGGAGGTCAGTGCCTCTGCTTTCAAGATACTAATAAGGAACACATGGAAAGGATGTAAAATAGTTCCTACATTGTTTGAAGTAAAATATTAAATACTGATGTGTGCCAGCATAGAAGTTATATGTAGGGATAACTGCCAAATCAAGGGGTAAAGTAATAAGGGAAAAGATAGACAAACTAACATTTTGATTCAGATAAGGCTCCAAAATTCTTGTGCTTTTAAAAAGATTATCCAAATTTGTCTGAACTTCCTGCTGCCTTTTTCTTTTCCTCTATGCCATATTCATCTTTATCCATCCATTTTTAGAGGCTCAGATCATCCACCACTGACCAAATTTCCATAAAGAAAGTTAGCAGGCTTTCTGATTCTATTGTCCCATGCTCCACAGTGAGACACATGATTTAGTTATTCTATTTTATATTTATTTTGGCAGTTAAAATTTCATCAACAGATAAAGACACCATTTTCTCTCCACTAATTCCCATCATGCTTTGTGTCTTGAAATGGTAGCATCTTTAGTTTTTTTCAGGTTTTAATCTGTCCCAGTTGAAAACCTGTTAGAATTCTCAATTGATTGCTGAATTATTGCACTGCTGAATCAAGATCATGGCATGAAGATTTGGGCTAAAAATGTGAAACTCCATTTTTTCCCCTTCTGTCTGATTAGCTATTTTTATCCTCTCTGAATAGACAGTATAACAATGCTATGTAGTCAGGGTACAGATGACTGGGGCTTTTATCATTCTATAGGGTTTTCATTATTCTCCCACAGAATTTTACTATTCTCCTAGGTTCCTGATGAAACTGCAGAATCTAAAGTCAGGAACGTTGGGAGTTTTGCATCAAGGCTTCAAAAGAAATGCAGTGATAAGCCAGAGAAAATGTGCACTGGAAAAGACAGGACATATGCATTTGAACACATAGATTCTTCCCAACATGCATGAACGTTCCTTCTGAGCCTAAATGTGTCAATATATGTGCAGACCTCGTGTAAAGTAGTAGAAGGGACAGCATTAAAGGGGTAAAGTTGGTGTGAAATAACAAAATTTATCTAAACAAGCTCATTTCTTTTACTTTCTCCTCAAGCTAAGCATGTCACTTATCATAATAGTCCAGCATAAGCTGAACTAGCCTAAAGAAATGTTCATTTAGTGGTCAGTCCTGCAAGAACATAAATGCCTGCCTCAGAAATCTGAGCACTCAGTGGCAGAAAGCATTAATGGTTCTACAGGATCGGTGTAATTCTAATACAATTTAATTTTACCTATTTTCCACTTATAATAAAAGAAAAAATCAAACAAAGACAACCTTACAAATGTTAACATTCTTTCCTTGTAGCTCTCTTCTAGTATTGCCACTTTACTCTAAACGCTAAATATATAAGATATCATTGAGAGGTGAGTGGGAGCTTCAGTCAAAGTTTATTAGAAAAGCCCACTCATTGAGTCATGAGGTGCAGAAAGGACCCCCTTGCTTTCTAAACTCCTTCTCAGAGAGGAGTCTGGGTGCAGCTGGATCCAGTCTTAGCCCCAGACTTTGTCAACGGTTTATCTAAGGAATTACAGAGATGTGGTTGAACCTTTGTACAACTTAGTCCCACAGAATTGGGGATGGCAAATCAGATATATTTTCATAAAAATGAATTAGACAAAAAAGTATTAGTCAGAATTATTTACTCCACAGTATATTACTGGTGTAGTATAGTATAGTACAGTACAACAAAGCAATTATATTAAAGTTGGCAAAAAAGAAGCAATTATTAAGTAGACATTGATGTTATTTGCCCATACCAATGACTGTGGGCAAACCTCTTTTGCTCAGCCTCAAGGAGTAACCTTGAGCAGAGTCCCCACCCAAGGGAGGAATCTCCACACACACTCCAAGAAGGGATATGTTAGAAGAACCTGCTGTTTGAAAGTGGGACTGGACTTTTATAGTATAAAGTGATTGACTGTCAGTCATCTGTCTCCAGGCCAGCTGTGTCAGCTTAACATTTTTAGATAAGAGTACTTTACTATATCTACCACACCTTTACCTCTCTATCAGGATGTGTAGCTTTGGGGTTGATGAGTCAGACTGGTTTTAGCATAATTCAATACCAAAAGCAGCATGACAGCCCCTCTAAGTCCACTGATAGCTTTGCAAAAACAGGGCATTGTTTGAGTTGTTTTACCTCATTCCAGGCAGAGCATCCTGCTACAGATATACAGTTAAAATAATTCAGAATTATGGAAGTTCCATAAATTAACCTGTAAGGTTAATTAACCTGTAATAATCACCAAATTGGCCTTTTTTCCAATTGTATCCACTGAGATTCACTAATGGGTAGTGTGTTATTGCATTACAGAGCCTTATCAGTGCATTCTAACAGTACTTACTGAATACACCTTAAGATATTTTGCCTTGGAACAAGCGATGCACTCTCACACTGTTTAAAGAACAGTTAAAAGTAATGAAAATAAAAAGGAAAACCTTTCTTCCATAAGCTCTCAGTAGGTGTTCAGAGATATCGTGGTTACTGTCTGTTATTGCTATGGAATGAACATGTAAGCTCCTTTTTCATTTCAGCTCTCCAAAAGCAGCAATTAAGAACGGAGAAGCAAAAGAAAGAAGGAAATCAGAACAGCAGCTAACTGTGAGGAGCAAAGGAAAATGGGAAAAAAGAAGAGATTCATAAGGCATAAGAAAAAAATAAAGAAAAAGATAAAAATAAATGGAAAGTCTTTCAATTTTATGAAGGTAAAAGACTCTGCAAGCACAAAAGAAATTTATAAAAATCTCTAACAAGAAAATTACAAAACCCAACTCCTCTACATCAATTATTATCATATTATCATATAATATAATATATTATCATAATTATGACAATATGCTTGGAAGAAGAAAGGGGTAAGCAGGGAAAGTCCATTACATGAGGTACCCAGTCAGGGAGAAGTGTTGTCCTATCTTTGTAAGAGCAGTTCCTTTGTGAAACTTATTTCCTTTTCTTTGTTTCTTGCTTTTCCTTGATTATCAGCAAAAAATATGATATGTATAATTGGTAAGTGTTGCACTGATGAAGACCTAAATCCATCCTGACAATTTCAGTCCTGAATTCCTTTCTATGCTGGGCTATTCTTGAGTTTATGCACTCCTTAGACATTCATATATGAGTGAGTAAGGGTCATCAGACCCATATAGCAAATGTCAAGTTCTTCCACGCTAGAGAAATGGAAATACAGTATTCTGCTTCTGAAAGAATAGGGCTGAGGGCTAAGTACCATAATTTTATTTCAGATACTGACATTTTCCCGGAACGTCAGATGTCTGAAAGAGTCATCAATTCTGACTGGTTACTGAAGAGGCAGTTGTGAAGACATTCAAAGCCTTTCAATAGCAAGGCATTCCTTTTCTGTCATCAAGTAAGCTTTAGAAGCAATTTGGTCTAGATAGATACTTCTGTCCATTGACCTCTTGGGATAAGACAGTCCCTAGCTCCTCTCAGAAATATGTTTGAAATGTGAATTCTTCGCTGAAGAGAAGCACATACAGACTTACAATTGAAACAGCCCTTGAGACTCTGAAAGGCCTTTTCAAAGACTTGAAGCATTATAAAAGGAAGTGCATTCTTGGTTAGCTCTATTAACAAGGCTTCCTCAAAGAAACGATGCAAAAATTTCCTGTGGAGAAGTCTCAGAAGAACTGAGATCAGCTCAGTTGGTTAGACCATGGTGCTACCAACACCAAGGTTGTGGGTTTGATCCCTTAAGAAGAAGCATTCACTTAAGAGTTGGACTTGATAATCCCTGTGCGTCCTTTCCAACTCAGAATAATCTGTGAAATTGCAAGCAGAATAGATTATTTCTACTCCAGGGATAAGGAAAGGCCTGATCTGTAAAGTCTATTAAGGGATGAAGAAGGTCCTGCTATTTGTGTCTAATATTAATTGAAGTATTAATTAAACAGATAATTTGGAATCAAGCCAACCTTTCTCAACATGTAACTTTGTCAGATGAGAGTGGTCCAGTTTTGAAGAACGTTCTGTGGATGCCAGAGGCCTGCCAAACCTGCTTGTGGAAATGTAGAACATAAAAATGTTTTTTCCTGTGAGCCTATCACAGCTAGGTAAGGTTTCCTACACATCAAAAATTGGTGATTCAGCTCAAATCTAAGGAACAAGGTACATGTCAAAGGTAGAAAAGTAGGAGCAAGAACACCAGGGCCAAGAGAGAAATCTTGCTGTGCTGACATAGCTGCTTTTCTCAGCTTGCTAGTTAACAGAGCACTAGTTTCCTCCTCATCCCTGAATTTGGAGCTCACTTGCTCAGAATTAACTTGCACCCCTGTGTAAGCTGTACAGCTTACAGTCATATGCAGGGTTTTTTTTTCTGGAAGTTGAGGTAAAACCCTGCACCATTTCACTTAAGGATACGGACAGTAGGGCACTTTGAGTCCCTATTTTAGGTTTTGCTCTTTCACACTTCGCGTTTTCTCCAGAGCCAACACTATTTCTCAGTTTTCTGTCTGTCTCGCAGCTTTCACTCTCTCGCATTGGAGCCTCAAGCTGCTTCAGAGAACAATTAGTGCAAATTCTGCCTTATTGTCAAAGGACATTTAGACAGTCACAGAGCAAGCCAAACTCCAGGAGAAGTGTGGAAATGAAGTCTGAAGGTGCTTTGAAATGGGAAGTGTTGAGCAGCTCTTGAGCAGCGTGTGGGTGGTGGGAGATTAGTTCCTGGAGACTGTTCTCAGCACAGCATGATGTAAGCACTGCCAGCCCATAGGAAATGCAAGGAAAACTGAAACGATAACAAGAGTCACATTTCCTCCCTTAATGACTTGAACACTTAGATTGTGAAGAAAAATTCTTCACAAAATCTCAGACCTGCACTTCCACACCACAGGAGTGTGCTTGACATAGTTAGTTATCTATCAAAGTACAGGTTGGGCAAAGAGAAAAGGGAGGAAAAGCTGAACTGAGGCATGTTATTTGAGAAGTGCCCTGGTTTCTACTTGTGTTTCCACTAAGGTTGTTTACAGAGTTGTGCTAAAAGAAAAACAGCTGAGTTTTCAACTTGCAATCTATAGGATCATCACTTTCTCATGTGTCTCATGCCCTTAATTAGAAAACCTCCTGTCAGAAAATTAAAACACCCTAAAACCATTACTTTTCTGTGCCACAAATATACAATGCTTAAACCATGCTCACTAATGAGGCTTCATGCCAGCACTGGCAGAGGCCCTGGTAAGCACTTAATAGTGGGACAGAGAGGAAGACCCCTTATATTTACACATAGTCCTATTGGACCCGTTGACACTTTACCAAGGGCTGTGAATCAATTTCCTTGAAACATGCAGTAGGCTCTGTGTCACAAATGTAAAAAAAAGATACATAACACAGGCATTTACATGATCTCTCCAAGTTGTCATAACGCTTAGTCTTGAGGGCAACTGGAACTGAAATTGCACATCAAGTTGAAGCCTTAGCTGCTACACTCCTCCTCACCTCAACATACTTCTGTCTCTCTTTGGAAGCTGATTCAGAGAAGCAGGAGTCACTCCAGGAATATAAAATGTATGTCAAAAAGGCCAGGAATCCTCTGGCTTCTTTCATGAAACTAAATATTTGATAAACCTGTGTAGAAGAATATGTTATATTTGAGTGCTTCCTATAACATCAGGTAATAGTATATGGCTGCAGTTAATTTACTGATTTGAATTGAATAAGGCATTTTGCAGCACATATGAAATGAAAACTCCTGTTGAACTATGTGGAAGTTTTATTTCAGAAAGACTTGCTGGGATTCAAAATCTCTTAAGAGATTGATTCCATAGGACTTGGTTTCAAAACCCCCTTTTGTCTTCAGATCAAAATTACACTATTTCTGAGACAGATAATATTCGACACACAGCACTTGTGTGTCAAAAGATAGCTAATACCATGGAGAAAATAAGTAGCTGGAGCAGAAGGAGATATGGGCTAAGTAGAAAAAGAATTACTGAAGTATGTTCTAACAGCATGATTCTGAATAAAGTGCTCTCAGCAGACTACCGACAAAAACAATGAAAGCAAAAATCCCCAAATAAACAAAACCAAGCTAAGAAAGTTTTATTGGGGGGGGATTGTGGGTTGTTTTGGTTTGGGGTTTTTTTTTTCCAAAATTCTTGGCAAATATGAGACACCATTTCATTTTTTCCTCATCCATCACTCACTATGCCTGCAAACCAAATAGATTCTTTCCTACCCCCTGGTCCAGTACTCAGAGCCCCAAAGCTGTGATGTTTACTAGATACAGCTTCAGGCAGGCCTCAGATCACTGTGTCTCCTTTTCTACCTTTCATTCTCAGGAAAGAGAAATGATCTTTCCAGGCTCTGAACTTAAAAGCAACATATCCCTAACCCTCGGATCTGCCAGCCCATACACCCAAACTTGGTCATTTTCAATCCATCCCTACCTTGGTGGCTTATTAAATAGTATATATTGTCTGATCTTATGGAATATCAGAAATGGCAGTATTTTAAAAATACCAACAATGCAGCAGAGACTAGAAAAATGCTGAGCTCTGAGTTGGACTTGGATTTTGAAAATCAACATGCACTGGTATAAGAGTTTAGATATCGGCCAGATAAAGGGGTTATGAGATCATTTTCTTGCAAGACAGGGTCATATTTATTGATTCCCAATAATGTGTCATAGAATCACTGAAGTTGGACAGGACCTCCTGAGGTCCTCTACTCCAACACTTCTGCTCAAGCAGAAGGGATTAGTGACCTGATGTGCCAATTAGGTGCTCACAAGTCTATGGGTCCTGTGGGATCCATCCCACACTAATGAGGGAACTGGCAAAAGAACTTGCCAAACCACTGTCAGTCATGTCCCAGCAGTCCTGCTTAAATCAAGACATTCCAGCTGACTGGAAATCGGCAAATGTAACACCTGTCGGCAAAAAGGGTTGATAGGATGATCCAGGGAGATACAGTCCTATCAAACTAACCTTGGTTCCAGGTAAGATTAGGGAAGAGATCATCCTGAGTGCCATTGCCTGGCACATGCAGGACAAC